GTCGTAGTCGTAGTGTAGTGTAGTACGTAGTAGTAGTAGTAGTAGTAGTAGTAGTGTAGTAGTCGTAGTGTGTGAGTGTGTGTGTGTGTGTGTGTGTGTGTGTGTGTGTGTGTGTGTGTGTGTGTGTGTGTGTGTGTGTGTGTGTGTGTGTGTGTGTGTGTGTGTGTGTGTGTGTGTGTGTGTGTGTGTGTGTGTGTGTGAGCTCGAAGGATTGTTTAGTACTAACCATTTAGGCATGGATCGTCGGCACAGCTTCTTTCCTTTTGCTCGCAGTGGATACCCTGTATCCCAACAGGGCAATCGCAAAAGTAACCATCGGTTGTATTCACACAAGTGCCACCACTCAGGCACGGCATGTGCGCACAGGTGGCAGCACGGGTCTCGCACTGCTGTCCGATAAAGCCGGGCTGACATTTACAGATGATTTTGTTATTCTGTTTCTGCAATAATAAGCGAATTATTATAAGTAATATTCCCTCATATTTATTAAAGCATAATAAATCAAATTAATCACAAACATATATCAAACTTGCATACAAATACTGCAGGAATACTCAACAGGCACATTAGGCACTTACATCAATATATTACATCAATATTACATCAATATTACATCAATATATTACATCAATATTACATCAATATTACATCAATATATGGGTGGACGATATGCCAATAATGATCAATAACGTGAACCTGTTTCTAGACACCTGTACATTTTCTGCGTCTCCTCCTTTGTCCCATTCTTCCTACTTTTCCCAACTATCTTTCCTGACACGAACACATCACCAATCATTAGCTATTATCGTTCATCTGCTTTAGGTCCCTCCTAATTACCCCCATCCCATCCCACCCGTTCCCCTTCTCTTCTTTTCTATTTCCCTCGCTTACGTTTAACACGTTTCTCGCTCTCATTCTCATTCAATCTTGTTCTCGCTCTTTTTTTCCTTCCCGTTCGCCCTGCTCCCTAACGTACTATATGATACCTATACTCGTGAACCAGAGTTATTGATTTCATTCGTTTCGCATTACGTGACTGGTTAACAGCTTTTGTCGAAGCCTTCCCTCGATGTTTATTATTTCCGTGAGGTGTGTGTAATACTAACATTATACACCACGCAAGCTTTTCATTTACGCTATGACTCACAAATCGTGGAGTGTTGACTTAACGTAGATCAATACACATTAATAAAAATGCTCTATTATGCGCCTTTCTAAAGCAGTCCTAGTTGCATTTGACTGTTCAAATACTCGCCGCTAAGCATCTGGCTGTACATTACACATGTAAACGCTGAGCTTCTGGCCCGACATCCAGGCCAACAAATCAAACATCCGTGTGTAGCGAGCGAGCGCCTAGCGAAAAAATTATGCTGCAGCAATCTACGCGCTTCATGCTGGATTCGCCTCACAGATGCCACCTATCGTCCGTCACAGCAGCACTACGTGTATACGCGATCACGCCTCCGCAACCTCACCCGTCCGCTGCCGTCAGCGGGCCGCGCCTGCGCCGTGCATTACTCACCGCGCATGTGCCGCCATTGAAGCACGACGAGGTCTTGCATTTATCAACGGACGTTTCACAGCTTCTTCCCGTGAACTCCTTCGGACACATGCAGGTGTAGAAACCCAGTCCAGTGTTTGTACAGGTGCCGCCGTTGTTACATGGCTTGTGCGTTCCACAGAAGTTTAGATCTGCAATAAGAAACGTCACCGATAACCGTCGCCATTCGTACATGCGTCGCCATGTTTAAAAAAAATCCTGCCATCATGGACAAAATGGCCGCCATGTTAGCGAATAATACGGCCTACTGCTTGCACTAAACTAACGCTGCCCAATCCTTCTTTTTGCTCTATATACAAGACTTATTCTTTTGCACACAGCGTTTAGATTTATTTAATTTGCATTTTTTCACAACGATTTACGGGTTTTACCAGCGGAAGAATGAAATGGCACTACGGTGCTATAGTTATCCAGTGCACATTTATACAATCCTTACCGTTGTTACATAGCATGCCTCCCCAACCCGAGAGACAGGTGCATTCCCACGGAGACTGACAGGTTCCGTGTTGACAACCGGGATATGTCATGCAGCGGTCACACAGCTTCCCATTGTAACCGGGTCGGCATCTTGAAGAGAGACAGTGAAAATGGCGCTGTCAGTCAACAATAAGCGGCCAAGTTTCATCGAGACATCGCTGATGTAAACGTGTTCAGTTCACTAAACGTAAAGCTACTGCGCAGGCGTATGGTCAAGTATACAGATCCAATAAGGCAACGACTATCTTTCATATATACCCTGTTGGTACGAATTATAATGGTTGGTACAAATCGTTAAAGATTTCACTAGACTAAAATACGAACAGATAAAGATAAAGACATTTTATCGATGTAGGCCTATAGGCCTACGCATTACTAAAGCCATATTCAAGAACTTGAACTCACGTAAACAGGAATACATATGAAAGATGTGTATTCGTTTGTTGTATATAATTTGCGGTCTGGGGCCTGTTGTCAGAAAAAACGTAAGGTTCTGACATATTGGACTAATGATTGTTATAGCTACTTGTGACCGTTCTGTCAACTGTCGCCCCTAGTTGTTAATTGTAACTCTATAGACATACTTACTTGCATTCTCCGGGTAGTTCGCAGAAGCCGTGTTCTTTGTGGCAGCCTGACAGACAGATGGCGTCAGTGCAGTAGGCGCCTGACCACCCACTCAGACACACCCTCTGTCCTCTCGCACCGCAAGTGTAGTGACCAGCGTACTGTGGGAGAGAGGTCACGGCATCACTATACGGCCGCCAATTCATCGTATATGGGGGAGAATTTTAGGGCTTTGTTCAAGTTTATTGTTGTGATTTCAAGACGTAATTGTTTGCACTGTCAACGTTTTATCTGTTTGCGTCACCATGGTTCCGATTACGTGCCGATTCTACCGGCTAGTGTATGATGGAATTCTAACGTACGCTGTATGTAACATTAACTAGAAGGTGATTGTTGGAAAATGCACACATATAAGTGGGTAAAGAGATTCAGACATACACGACACCGGTGTAATGCACTGCATGATGCCGGCGTTATGTCTGTTTATAGCAGATCGACATCGAAGTCTTACTTACCTGGTCATTCCGAGGATGACATAAGTCCGTGCAATTGTCACCGAAGTATCGAGGGTCGCATAGAGCGCGGTATTCGAACAGCAGCTCCGCCTGGTGGTCGTTGTGAACAGCCTCCTCCGTCCACACCACGCCAGCGCGCAACATGCGTTGTGTCGCGATGCCAAGGACTAGGCGTGACCCTGAAATTGAACCCGGTAAGCACTAAAATTTGGTGGTGCATCACTGATTCCGCATCACTCTGGTGAACTCAGCTCATAGTGTATGATGCACAATTGCTTAATTGTACTGACAAATAATGTTGGAACTTCATAAAATGCGCGCCGTAAGACGCATATTATGGTATGACCTTACTCATTTTTATTATGATGGGACGCGCTGTATGCTAACATAAGAGCTGCTAACGTAAGTTGATACTTTGACAGCTATATATTACCTTGGCTAGTTGGCGCTCCTGTTCCACTCTGGTGAAATGCGTCGACAGTTAGTGTAAAGAATCGCTGAAATAAAAAAAATAACAAATGGTTTAAATCAAAGTGAGAAGGTGGCGTGTCGTGTATGTGTGTGGTCATGGAGCTGCACAGGCTGTCCATCTAAGCATTCCGAATTCCGAAATTACATAAAAAGCGCGGATTACATTATTTTACTATATTTTATGCTATGTTTGATTTACTTGATCAGATGCGTCAGTGCGTGCACACATACACACATGCGCCGCACACACACACACACACACACCCCACACACACACACACACACACACACACACACACACACACACACACACGACACACACACACACACACACACACACATCACAACAATCACACACACACACACACA